GCCTCTTCAACTCCTCTAGCACTCGATTCCTCTCCTCCAAGTATTCCTTTACTAAAGAAACGAGAGTACTGCTACTCCCAAAGTGCACCAAGTGTAGAGGATCCCGCCCGTACAACATCTTGAATGGGGCCATCTGTGAAGCAGAATGAAAAGATGTGTTGTACCAGTACTCTACCCATGATAGCCACTTAGCCCATAGCTTGGATGTCTCTGATACAAAGCATCTCAGGTACATCTCCAAGCTCCTGTTGAATACTTCCGTCTGGCCATCCGTCTGTGGGTGATAAGTTGTACTCCTCGTCAGAATTGTCCCTTGCAGTCTGAATAACACTCTACAAAAATGACTGAGGAATACTTTGTCTCTGTCTGATACGATCGCCTCGGATACTCCATGTAACCTGACCACCTCCCTGATGAAAGCTGAAGCCACTGTCACTACTGTATAGGTGTGTCAGAGGGGAATGAAATGTGAATACTTGCTCAACCTATTCACCACCACCAAGATCACCGTGAACTCCTCTGAACGGGGCAACCCATCTATAAAGTTCATAGATATCTCCTGCCACACTCTTCCCGGTAGAGCTAGCATCTATAGTAATCCTCCTGGTGACATAACCTGGGTACTTATTCCTTTGGTAGATCTCACATCTGGCCATCATTTTCTTTACATCTTTACGCATCCCTTTCCAATACAATTTCGCAGCTAGCCTCATGTATGTCTTCTGTACGCCTGAATAACCCCCCACCGCACTTCCATGAAACTCCTGAAGTAAGTTTGGAATGTGGATTGAGGTCTGGGACATCACAAATCTCCCATGATATAGCAGTTTGTCTCCCTCCAATGCGTACCATGGGTGGCTACCCTCTCCTGTTAGTAAATCTGACCTGATATTTCCCAAACAATCTCTCACACTTTTCTTTCTGATGGCCTCCCAGTCAAGCACTAGAGGAACATATATTGTCATAGCCTGCAGCTCCCCCATACATCTGGACAAGGCATTCGCCGCTTTGTTCTCCACTCCTGGCCTATACTGGATCTCAAAGTTGTACCAGAGCAACTTGGACAGCCACCTTTGATGCTCCTCTATCACCATCCATTATTCCATTAGGTATTTCAAGCTCCGCTGGTCTGTCCTGACAATGATATATCTCGCAAGTAGGTAAGGTTGCCACTTCTGGATGGCCAAAATAATTCACATTAATTCCCTCTCATAGACTGACTTCTGCCTGGCTCTATCAGTCAAAACCTAACTGAAATAGGCAATGGACCTACAATTCTGCATAAGCACTGCACCAAGCCCATATTCGGATGCATCCGTCTCCACAATGAAGGTCTGAGTGAAATCTGGCAAGGCTAGGACCGGTACCATAGTCATCACCTTCTTCAGGCTCTCAAACGCTGTTGTGGCCGCCTCCTCCCACAGGAACCTGTCTTTCTTCAACTGCTCAGTGAGTGACCATGCTATGGTGTCGTACCCCTTTATGAATCTTCTGTAGTAACCTATCAGTCCTAAAAATCCCCTAAGCTCCTTCAGATTTTTCGGCACTGGCCACTTTAGCATTGCCTCAATTTTGGACTGATTTGCTGCCACCCCTTCTTTTGATACCACATGTCCCAAGTAATCTACACTAGCTTGTGCAAAACCGCATTTCTTCAAATTATCCCTCAATTGGTGCTCCTGCAATACCTCGAACACCCTTTTTAAATGTTTCCAGTGCTCCTCCTTTGTACCTCTATAGGTCATGATGTCGTCAAAGAATACCAATACAAATTGTCTGAGATAAGATTTGAAAACCTTATTCATAAGGGCCTGAAAAGTAGCATAAGCATTGGTGAGGTCAAATGGCATCACCAAGAACTCATAATATCCTTCATGAGTTCTAAAGTCCGTCTCGGGTACATCCACCTTCATCCGGATCTGATGGCAGCCTGATTTCAAGTCTATCTTGTTGAAGATCATAGTCCCACTCAATTCATCTAACAGCTCGTCAATGAATGGTATAGGAAACTTATCACGTATAATTTTCGTGTTGAGTGCTCTACAGTCCACGCAGAAATGCCAGATGCCGTCCTTTTTTACCAACAAAACGGGGCTAGGGAATGGGTTGATGCTGGGTCTGATGATTTCTACCTCAAGCATCTCTCTAATCAACCTTTCAATTTCATACATCTGGAACTGAGGGTAGTGATAAGGACGTACACTGATGGATGACACTCCCTCCCTCAACACGATGGCATGCTCCTGCTCTCTCTGCGGTGGCAATCCCAGAGGTGGCTGAAACACCTCTTGGAATTATTGAATCAATGGTCGAATTGAGAGGGGTATGTCTCCTCCCTCCAATCTCGCTCCCTCCAAACAATGCAGCTCCACCAAATACCCTCCGCCCGTCAACTGAATGTCCCTCACCATCGTTTTAAGAGAAATCAGGAATTTGGAAAGCCCCGCATCTCCCTTAATCACTACCTTCCTCCTATCCACCATCAACTCCATCGTGAGTGCTCCCCAATTCACTTTGGTGTCCCCTAAAATTTGCAGCCATTTCATCCCCAGGATGACGTCTGTACTCCCAAGCTCTGGCAAAAGAAAGTATTCCCTCACCTATATCCCCTGGATCATCAGTCGCACTCCTCGGCAAATCCCCTGACCTTTCTCCACCTTCCCCATACCCTTCATCACCCCATAATAGTAGGTATCCACCAATCTCACTCCCAGTTTGTCAATGAACTGGGTGGAAATGAAATTGTGAGTAGCTTCACTATCAATCAGCACCATAACCTCCCTGTCCTCTATCTCTCCCTTCATCTTCATGGTGTGATTCGTAGTGAATCCAACCACTGAATTTAGGAAAACCTCAGCCATATCCAAGTATAGCTTCTCTTCCATCTCCTCCTCACCTCCCTCCTCAGTTTCCTTGTCATCACAGACGGTGAGAACCTGAAGAGTTCGGTCCTTACACAAGTGCCCTGGCGTATACTTTTCATCGCACCTGAAGCACAACCCCTTAGCCCTCTTCTCCTGCATCTCTTTCTCCGTTAGCCGCTTGAAATTTTCCCTGCTCCCTCCTCGTCTTCTCCTTGGCGGCCTCTCGACTTCCTCCTATTACAGGACCTTTAGGAGCTAGATGAGTGGTTGTCATACTGTAAGTGCCCCCGATGCTGCAACTCCTGGCTCCCCTCTCCAAATTCCTCTGATTTTACACCAGTTAGGCCAACTTCATGGCCTCCCCCAAGTCACAGGGCATCAAAACCTTCACTGTTGCTCAGATTTCTGCCTTCAGCCCTTTCATGAAATTTCCCTCCAATATTGTATCTGAGAGTCGCTCCATCCTGCTAGCTAGGTGCTCGAATTGCTCCCAGTAGTCTGCTACCGATCCCTCCTGTGCCAGAGCAAAGAACTACTCATAAAAATCTTCTCCCTGGTTGGTTAGGAAACGTTCTATTATGCAGTCTTTGAATTTCCTCCAGCTCCTGATAGGCCTCCTCTAATCTCTCTACTGAAACCACGACAGGGCTTTTTCCTTCCAAGAACAATCCGGTTGCGGTAAGCTTCCCCTCCTCCATCAGCCTATTGACGGCGAAGTATCGCTCCACCTTGCAAATCCACTCATACGAATCTTCTCCTTCCAATATGGGCATCTTCAACTTCCTCACCTTTTGGTCGCCCCCATTTCCCCTGATCCTTCCATAGTTCCCCTCTCCCAAGTGCTAGGTGCACCCCATGTTGTTCGATATTCCCTTGCTCTGTCATAGCCCAAACCCCCTTCGAAATCCCCCCTTCTGTCTTTAAAATAAGCACCTCGATGACCATAATATCCCTCCTGACATTCCCCATATTTACCCCTTTCTTCCCTCTGGACAGGCTCCAAATGGGGTCTTCTTCTTCCTCCTTCCATGATTTCCACCTCATCTTCCTCCATACGAATTTCTGAATTCGTACTTTTTTCTTCCCCTCCTTTCACAACGGAAGCCGCCGTTTGGTTTTGAATTTCTAACATCTTCTTAATCATGCCTCGAAGATCAACGACTTGTCCTTCCACGGAGGAAATCCTTTCCTCCACTGTCGTTTTGATTTGATTCATCTCCCTTTCAAGCCTTTCCTCCAGAGCATCCACTTTTTTTGCCGTCATCACAATCTGAAGTTTGTAAAATCACAAAATCTTGATTTGGAACTCCAAAAATAGCAATCCCCCTTCCTTCCAGGCAAACAATCACCGCTGGAATCTGCCGAAAACAGCCCTCCACTGGTCCCACGACTCGCTTTGATACCAATTTGATAGGAAATACTTCAGTTCGCAAGTAATCATATCGGATCTACTTGAGTTCACAAGCAACCCTAACCAAAATCAGTAAAATCAGCGAGAAAAATGTGGAAACGCGGTAGAAAAGCAAGTCACAATAGCAAAATCTTTATAGCAAGCAAAATGAACAAACACCAAGCAAGATACAATAGATCCTCAATTCGAGAGGAGGATCGTCTCTCCCAAAATCTCTAGACAAAGAGTTTAGAGCCCAAGCACCAAGAACCCTAATTTCCCAATCAATCAAAACATGAAAACTCCCTAATTCCCTCATACACTTTAATACAAAAGATTTCCTAATTAATTTTTCCTCCCAAAGCCTAAGCCGCCCCACCCTTTTCCCTTTTGAAATTGTTTCTCTATATGGGACCCACCCAAAGGGCGGAAAAGGGAAGGAGGCAAGCTACTTCCGCCTCCTGTACACTTGCTAAACCGGCCCCATGGCCAACTGGGCTGGCTCAGCCAGAAACGGCGTAACAAATTTCTATGCATATCTAGCTCTCACCAGGAGTTATTATCTTCATTTGACAGGCTACAAAGTACAATATATAATTAGGTAAGCTAATATCAATCATTTCAATAATTTAATGCCTACCTGAATAATAGACTGATATAAAAAAGGTGGAAAATGAGTGAAGTGCAATTTTTTTAAGTACTAATTAGATGGTCAGCAAAATATGCTTAGAGGGCCAGACATGTACCCTGAGATTTTCAAGCTCTCTTTCACGTTTAAGCAAAAGTTGGCGCTGAAGAGCCTGGTTCTCCTCTATCATCAGCATCCTCCTTGAACGAATTTGTGATTGGACTCGAGCTAGTGTTTGCATGCAACGCAATGTGGTTGTGGCTTGGCGCTTGACAGCATTTCCATGAATGAGTGACTTCAATCTTACCAATCCTCTCAAAGCCCGCAAAGCTCGCCTTGCCTAGAAGACATAACAATAAATAAGCACATTACAAACCGTATATGATCAAATTAACTAAGACACTATAAATTGAAAGTATATCCAAATAGCGAGTGCCTTAAAAAGCATTAAATGCAAACAAAAAAATTGCAAATTTGCAACTTCTCATGTTCAGGTTAATGCATCCGAGAAAGTACCTCTAGCTTAAACAAAAAAAGGAATATTATTCATCTAAGTTCAGAAGCATATACATTGTAGGTTATTGAAAATAAACTCAAAATCAGTTTTTGCTACAGATGACTGAACTCCAACTTCAAAAAATCTGTATTTCTATATGAGAAGCGCTTCAAATCAAAGACCAAACAGAAGAATTGCAATATATTCATATATGTTTAGAATATTATAACACTGCAGAAATGCCCGCATAGTATCCAGTGCATTTGGTGATAATTATTCCATCATTTTTTGTGTTCAAATAAAGGCTATGTTTGGGAAAGTTTTTTTGTTGCTTGCTAAAACAGTTTTCTAGAAATTTTTTAACAAAAAAACCGTTTTAAAAAGCATAAGAAAGCTGTCTCAAATGAAGACTAAGAAGCATATAACCAAGCAAGCCAAACACAAATTTTATTTTTGTAGGATATTACATATTCAATGTCACCAGTAAAAGATGCAAAGCTGGAGAACATGCTATAACACCCAAAACGGGTATTACATTACTAACAATAAAAAAATGGCGTATATTTGTAAGAACAAATAAAAAACTTCAAGAAGTTGGCATCTTACTAACAAACAACCATCTCACAATAATTAAAATTTCGTCATCATTGAGCAAGGCATTAACATAATATGGCCCTTATTACCAACTACTTATCAACAAAACAGAAGAATATCCTAATTGATAATTGATAACCCACTCCAAGACAGTAAAATAATATTCTTCATTGTTATCAAGATGACACACCTAATCCTCATCCAAAAGGCTGCATTGTGAAAGCAAAGAAAGCAGGTATAACAAGCTGAATTTTGACTGGTAAAAGCATTTTACTTAAAAGTGAAACGAGGCTAAGAGTTACAGTAACAATACAAGATATCCCCGAAAAGCAGTCTGGATCTTGATTGCAGCCCATTCTTCTCTTGATTTGTCAGTAAAATTTGAGGAAGTATTAAGCTGGACAACCTGGGTGGTGGCCTGAGCTGCAGCCACACTGGGAATTGCAACAGAGTAGATATTGTTGCTCTGTTCAAGCTCTGGTTCTGGAATTTTCTGCTCTTCCAAATCAGGCACAGGAAGAGCGGGCGGAGGAGGAGGGAGAGCTGCATCAGAAGAACTAGTTGGCAGTATCTCAGAAGATAATATATCAGAATGCTCGGGCCGTTCAGGATCCAATTTCTTTGATCGCTGGTTGTGGGCAAGCAACAGAAGACTATTGAGTTAGATCAGAAACCACATTATTAGTAATTGAAAACTAAATCAACCCTACAGACAGGAAAGGCGATAATTCAAAACCTGGTCTTTCTTTTCCTTAGATTCTGGTCTGAAGACCCTCTTGACTGCGCGAAACCAGCTCTTCCCTTTCTTTCCCATTTCTTTCGACTATTCTTCTATTTCATTAGTCTACACCATCCTGTTTCAGAAATCAGCAAATCCGAAATATATTATAACAATCAGCAGATCAGTAAGGAAAAGTACAGTATCAGCTCAAATCATCCTAAATCCCGAAGACATCGCCCTTCCCTGATACGCTGTTAACAATAGGAAGCGCCGTAAAATCGCATTTTTCAAGGAAAGCAAACCCGATCACCGTTCGCTAATTTTCCACTATATGGAAAGATCTCCGTCAGAAAAGGAATAAAAAAAGCTTAAATTCGTAAATAGAAGACGAAACTGTTAGAAGTTCAAAATAAAATAACTGTAATTCAAAACATCCCCAGATCCCGAAAACATCGCCTCGAGATCCGTTGCAAAACAGAAGCGCCGTAAAATTGCATTTTTCAAGGAAGGAAAGCCCCATCACCATTATCTAATTTTCCTCTTAAATATATATATATAAACGAAAGATCTCCGAATACAAAAGAATTAAAAAGCTTAAATTGGTAAATAGAACAGGAAATGGGAGAACTTTAAAAACAAAAAAGACAAGAAAAAAATGGATAAAACCTAGCAGTTGAAAAACTCTAGCGAATCCAAGTTTCAAGCATCAAAAGGCCGATACCTTGTGGTGTTCTCCCTGTTGGGGTCTCTAGATCTGAGAAGACCCTTCTTCTTTTCTTTCTTGCAGAGAAGTAAAAGAATCGATTCGGACAGATCAGAAAGGGACAAAAGAGAACATCTTTCTATCCCTCTCCTGAGAATGAACACAGATAAAAGGTTTTCCCCAAAACACAGAGAAAAGTACAGATCTTGAATAAAGGAAGAGCTGGTTTTTTCTTGCCCGCTGGCACAAGTGCAGAGTTTGCCCACCCCTTCCCGTCTTCTTCCGAAAACTATTAAAATTTGTTTTTTGAGGCGAGAAAGAACTAATAAGAAAAATCAAAAATTTGGATCCGATGCTTCCATGCCCTCTAGGCGCAGCTAAGAAGACGCTGGAGTACCAACGTGGCAGGGATTAAGTGGAGCCTAAAGTCACTGCTGGGATTACCTGATAAACAGCGCTGGAAAAGAAAGCTTTCCTCAGTAAGGCAGTGATGGCAGACAGTAGGTATTAAATTGGTCCCGTTGATTTTGAACGAATTCACGGCGTATCGTAGTTTGGTACGCCCCTCCTCCCTATCGAACTCTTAAGTAACCTAACCAATAATGATTGGGATCCGTTAAGTAATCAGCTATTTCAAATATAGCTCCGTTAAGTAATCAGCTATTTCAAATATAGCTCCGTTAAGTAAGTAAATGTCTTTATTTTTTTAAGTTGGCTTAGAGGCTACTCTTTGAAAGAAATTTTGGATATCTGGAAGCACGCGCCCAATAGCAAATAGTTTGTTGCATTGGTTTCGAATCGTTAGGGGTTATTTTTCCAAAAAAATAAAAAATAGGGGTTGCCAATTTCAGGAACGATTTATTCATTCCTGAGGTACTAGATGTGGGGACCATCAAACTCGTAAGATATGGAGCCGGAGGAATTAGTTATGAATTTCTGAAGTTTGGGCATTTAAGAGAATTATCTAAATTATCTAATTAAGGGATAATTCATGGTTTTGGTACAAATTAGCTCCAAACTAATTGGAATCACCCCTAAAGGTCAGGAATGACCTGATAAAGTGTTCTCAAGTGTTTGGGAAAAATTTAGAATTTTTAATAATTTATTAAGGGCAAAAAGGTAATTTGACTAAGGTTGAAATTAAGTGTCAAATTGAAGTCAAACTAAAGAACCCTATTTATCTCACGTTAAAAACCTAATTCTAAACAATTTGAGATATTATAGGTATTTTTCTGAGTTAAAATGGATTTATTATAATTTTTAGAAGGTATTAGACCCTATTTAACAAGTAAATTAGAGTTGGTTAATTAAGGGATCTAAAAGCTCCTAAAAATTTCTAAAAAAACTCTGGGAGTTGTGTAAGGTCACTAAGTTTAAGTATTGAAGTTTTCATGTTAATTAGTGATCTACCATGGCTCCTAGAAATTTTCTAAATTTGTTAAACTGGTCCTTAATTTTTGTCCTTAGGGTGTCACTATGTTATATGGGTTTAAAATGAAGTTTTTCACTAACCCTCAAGGTAACAATGTATGGGATATATAAATAAACTAAACACACCATGTACTTAGATCTAAGAGCCTAAACTAAGTGGTGATGCATCCTACACATGCAAATTATGATTAAATAAAAGTAAATACACCTAATGAAGGGATTAGTGAATGATTGGGACTCAATAATTCACTAATCCACTCCCCCATGATTGCTCTTCACATATATATCCTATGTTTAAAATTTCATTGGAATTACATCTCCCAAATTAAGATTTAATAATATAGGCAGTTTTAAAATAATTTAAAATATCCTTATATATATATATATATATATTTGAAAAATAATTTAATTAAAAATAGATCAATTCATGATAAATACATAGGTATAAGAAAGATCCACTTGCCACCCTCACGATGTTTTAAAACGGTTTAAAAATAATTTTTAGTTTTAAAATAATTAATATAATTAATTATTTAAATAATATAAAAAATACTCAAATAATTATATAATACATAAATATGTTAGAACATTGAAAATTATTTTCTAAAAATAATTTTAAATGAAAATACATATTTTTTTTATAGTAATAATATAAGAAATATAATAATAATAATAATAAATAATTTAAAAAAAGGGTTTTCACTATTTTGTAAATATTTTAAAACATACTAAGTATTTTTAAATGAAAATAATTTTAAATTAGGGAGGCCGAGAATACAAACAATTTGAGGTATTATACATATTTTTCGGACTAAAATTGAATTTATTATGATTTTTCAAAGCTTTGTTGCTTAAAATATTCCTAAATTTAATTAAAACCTAATTAAAAACCCTAATCCGGCGGTGGCTATTCTCGGGTTGACAAGTGTGTTAAGAGAGTTGCTATTTGCATATGTTACATTCTTACAACTTGTATAGTTTTGATGATTTCAAATATTATTGTTTTATGTGCAATTATTTCCTAACACATTTTGGAAGAATTATTTTTGCTCTTGTGTGTACTAAAATTTCACGAAAATTGAACTCTAAACTATGAAGACTTCAAATAAAATTCAGCATACAATTCTTCGCAAATTGAAGCTTTAAATCGTTCTTTGAATTGAGAGGGAGTGATTATAATTGAGTGAATAAAAACACACACACACACTTACTTAAAGAGATCTTACAAATTTGTACTGATCGTACGGGACGAACATAGTTCATACGGGACGATCAGGTCATTTTCTTCCCCGTAAGAGCAATGGAACGAACAGGAGTTGGAGGAAATTTTTCCAAGTTCTGATCGTCCAGGACGAAATTATTTTCGTCCCAGGACGAAATAGGCTCTGTAAAAATTTCGTTCAGACGAAATCTATAATCGTGCAAGGACGATTTCTTCTCTGTAAAAATTTCGTCCAGACGAAATCAAAATCGTCTTTGGACGAATTCTTCTCTGTAAAAATTTTGTTCAGACGAAGTTCATTATCGTGCTAGGACGAGTTGCTCTCTGTAAAAATTTCGTCCGGATGAAGTCTTGTTCGTCCTAGGACGATGTGAACCGACTTACCAAAACTGGTTACGTCCATGCAGTTATTTGGGAACCAACCTATGGAACATCCCCTACTTTACTCTTTCCAAATTTGAGCCCAAGAGATAAGAATTTATAGAGTGATTGAATAAAAATAATGTGCATTAAAACTCATATTACTCTCTAAATGTTTATTTTTAAATTTAATAATGAATTTTAATTAAATGGTGGTTGTGGTGATGATGTGACGGTGATCAGACGTGTGGCAGCGCAGGATTAGTTGTGTGGTTTGGTGTAATGATTGGCAATCATTGGTTAGCTAGCGGTGGCGGTCATCCACATATTAGCATGAGAGCATATGCATGGTTCCACTTAATCACATCAATATGGATCACATATGTCTAATCCACATGGTTTGGAATGGATTATTGTGATCTAATCGGGTGGATGATTCATCTGTATCACACGTGTATAGATCAAATCAGATTATTCGTCTAATGAGATATGGATCATCCGGTCGAAAATGAATGGTCCAATTTTCATCTTTTTCCTATAGAATAAATTTCTTAAGAAATTTTCTTTTGCTTGGTATGGATTATTTACTAAAGAATAAATTTCTTAAGAATAATTTTTTTTAGGGTTTGTTTATGTTCATATGAAATACTTATGTATGAATTTTGGTGGTTTGATATGAACTATTTTGAGAGTTATTAGAAACACAAGATTTAGAGTTAGGGTTTGAAAAAGACCTCTATTTAATGGGAGAAATTATTTTATCTTGCTCTAGTTCTCTTCCTTGGAGATTAAAGAATAACTTTTGTGAAGGGTCCAAAGCTAGAGGAGGCTTGGACCTAAAGTTTAAAATTCATAGAGAAAATGAGTTTTATGTCTCTTTGGATCACCTCTTCAGAAAGCTTTCAAAGAATGGAAAGAATGGGGGAGGGAAGAAGAGAGTTCTAGCTATGGAATGGAGGCAATGGGAACTCTGGGAAGGCTCTGGTTGGTGAGATATGTTGTTATGAGTCCCAAAATGAGCAAATGTCCAATTTGAACCCTAGTCTTGAAACCAAGGGCTAATATTGATCATAGCTCTTTCTTGGATTATTACCATGTGTCCTAGGTGGTTAGGTGGATAGGCTTTGGCTAGGGAAGGACAATCTGATATTGAAAGCTAGTTTTCATTGTTTATATGGGGCACTTGGGTTAAGTTTAGTTGAACCAAGGGTTTGGCTTGGGTTTAAAAATCTTTATGAAAGTTCTAGAGCTAGTTTAAATCAATTCAAATGGTTTACATGGGTTAGAGGAATAAGATTTGATGCATTTGACCAAATTTGACCTTTTGAATATTTTTAGTATTTTTAATTAGTTTGACCCCTTTGACTGGTCAAACTTGGTAAAGATGATTAGGATAGACTATAGGGAGTCCATAAAAGCTATTTGGATTAAATACATGAGATTTAATGCATTTGACCAAGTCAACGTGATCGAGATGACCCACCCATACTTTGGACTCATCAAAGGCACCAATGGGTGTGAGTTTAAAGATTTGAAGGAATAGAGCTTGGAGTTTAAATGCCCAAGCCAAAAAAAAAAAGAGATCAACAAGGTAAAGGCCCAATGATGTAAAAAGGTGTAGAGGATGGATTTTTGAGTCTAAGTGACTGAGATATTATTTTTTAATCTAACTTTTGATTATTCTGATGTATAAATGATTAGTAAGCTAAATTAATGTATATATTTTAATGAAATGAAATATGTTAAATTACTTTATTATTTTGATTTTAGTAGCTCCAGTTGTCTTTGTTGGTGGTTGAGTTATTTAATTATAGGATTAAAGTTTCAATCATTCTATTAAATCCTAGGGCATCCTAACCTCAAAGGCAGAAAATGAAAAGACTTAGTCAAATAGTCCATGATCATCCACACAACATTATAACCTTGCCTTGATCTTGGAAAACCTAAGGCAAAATCCATTGTGATCTATTTCCACTTCCACTATGGAATGGATAATGGTGGGATAATTTGCTAGGTTGGTAAGTTACATCTTTTACTATTTGACATAATTTGCACTGAAAATAAATTTTACTAAAATTTGTTTCATCCCAGGCCACCAAAATAATAACTTTAAATCTTGATACATCTTACTACTATCTAGATGAATAGAATATCGAAAATAGTTAGCTTCATGAAAAATCTCCCCTCTCAAATCATCACTATCCAAAACTCATAATCTACTACTATCACACTATGATCATTTTCTTGTAATTCAAATTTCTTTTTAGAACTAATCTGATATATCATCTTTACACACTCTTTATCTACCTTTTAAGCTTCTTTAATCATGTCTTGCAATGAGCGTTGAGCTATCATCTTAGAAATAACTCTAATTGACACATCAGATGAACATACAAATATTAGTTCCAACTTTTATTTTTCTTGAATTAATGCATGCTCAAATGTAATCAAACTGGACACCACTCCCATGGAACCGTTTGCTTTACTAATCCCGATAAATGATACTTAAATTATAATCCTTAATAAGTTATAACCATCTTTTATTCCTTAAACTTAA